GTTAATTAATTTAAGTGCGTGAACTGTCAAATGGGAAGAAAGATTATCGCATATCAGCACTTTCTTTACTTCTAATCTTTTTAGTCTCGATATCATTTGAAACTGTAGCCAATCAGTAAATATGTTGCTATCGAACCATCCTGAAGAAATAGCATTGTAGCGACATCCTCTTGATCCGTTTTCCGTCCATGTGATTCACATCTTACTAGCTCGATAAATCACATATGGTGCAGCATTTCCAGCGAAAATGACAGATATTATTGCCTTCGAAGCATTTTTAATTAATTCAGCGTACCTCTAACCTCTCTTGACAAGTACTCTCTTTTTCCCGGATCATCCGTAAGGTTTGTTTTATCAAAATTTCATATATTGCTTGGAATAACATCTTGTAATTCGGTGGCTAGATTCTCAATGAAGCTCCTTAGCATAGTCTCATCCACTGATGCTCTCGTACGCCTCACATTCTCATCAAAACGTCGAGATAATTTTGGATGTCTGACTACAAACGAATTTGCCCACTCTAAACAGGGCAAATTGTTTTGAAAAATCTTAACTTCCCTTCCACATTTGTCAAAATAATCCTTAATAATGTGACGTAATTCTCATGTATCTACTGAAAATTTAAATTGTCCCAAATCAATAATGTACTACAAAATTATTATTTCTCTTCCAAAGAAAAAACGGGTTGTCTTCCAGGTTTCCTGACATATTTTTTTTTAATTTGTTTAAAATTGTTCTTCTAGGTATATTGTTCTTTTGTTCTGCTTTTATGTGTGAAATTTCTCCTAACCCTACAGTGCATGATTTTTTGAAATAATTTCTAAAAAATATGTAATACTAAATTTTTGGGTGTAGAATACTACAAAAATATTGAAAAAAAAATTTTTTCTTTGTAAATATTTTATTTCTGAGAAAAACAGTTTGAGTCATATATGGGAGACACTGTGTAAGTACTGTGTAGGGTAGTACGGATATAAAATATTACAACAAAATAAGTTTTTTAATTTTATTATATAAAAATAACAAATAAAAGGCAATTAAACAAAAAATGACGCTTAACGTTTGTGAAAATCTATAAAACAATGTCTGTCCTTATTTAGATAAAGAAATACATTACATTTTTGACATTTTATGAATGATTGAAATTTACATCCAGGAACCTTGCACCGGTTTCTTTCTGCATATATGGGAAAGTGGTCAGTATTATCTTGACGAACAGCAGAAGGGGGTATATATTTGGCTGGTCATTTGTGGCGTTTTTCTTCATGGGCTACATCAATATCACTTTTAGGTCTTCCTCTTTTTGAAATACTAGCTGCTCCAATTTTACAGAGAGTATATGCCAATTCGGCCCGAAATTCTACCAATTTTATTTTTTTCATGTAATCATTTTCAATGCAAGCTCGTTTGTATAAAAGCCAAGCATTTATTATCGCAAGGTCCACTAAGTGATAAAAAATACGACAGTACCATTTTTTTGTGCGCATTGAAATTTTGTACCTCCCAATGAAGCTGTCTAATAGGTCCACACCCCCCATGTGTTTATTGTACTGACCAACGATATTGAGACATTCTAAATGTACTTTTCTCATTTCTTTTCTGTCATACCTTTCGATTTTATTTAGTGGCGATGTTCCAACGAAAGTAGATAGAAGAGTCACTGCCTTATTATCTTTCCATAGAACCGCAGACACATCCACATTCTTATAGTTTGTAACAAACTCTTCACTATACCCTCTTTCCTTTCTTTTTAATTTAGCATCGTAAATAAATTTATTATTTGGTAGTCTATTTCGCCGCACTTTACCGAGTGACCAAATACCAAGTTCCGCCGAGAGGTATGCTTGTAAAATAATTGTCAAAATATACTTTATAATTAACATGTTGTGGAATATCCCTACACAATCTTACGATCACATTACTACTGGCTACTAGGTCGCATTCATTTGGTAAGCGTTTGGTATCGTTACTTTCACTTCCAGTATATATCTCAATTTTATATGCGAAACCAGAAACTCCACACAAAACAAACAGTTTAAGTCCCCATTTGTGTGGCTTTAAAGGCATATATTGCTTTAGATGATGTCGAGTTTTTGTGTCACATATTTGTTCATCAATTAACAGACATTCATCCCTGGGAACAGTTAGGAATCTTTCTTGAAAAGAATTATAAAAGGGACGAATTTTATGTAACTTGTCAAATTCTGGGGACTTTCTATCCAAGACCTGTTTTTCATTATCATTAAAATGAATATACCGTCATATTTTTTCGAATTTGGTTACGGGCATTGTGTCTCTAACAGTTTCATTTCCTGTAATGTTATCCCAGAGCATTCTTATATTCGGAACGTTAATAATTGAGGAAAATATACAGATGCCAAGATACTTCTGAATATCAACAGAACTGGCAGTAAATAACTGATTAGGATTCGAAAATCTAATGAACATTTTTGTTTCATCAACAATATTTTTTATCATAGAGTCTGTAATAAAATATTTGAAAAACTGGTAAGGCGACTCCAGTTTACAGGCATGTGGTAATTTCTCCTGTCCTAAAAATTGGGTATTTACTGAAGGTAATTGTTTTTTCTTCCATACAACTTTTCGTACATTATCTCTGTAATTAACGGAAGTAACAGAATGATTGAGATTTGTATCATCTTTTTCAATTTGTTGGTTATTTTCTACCAAATTCTCATCAACATTTATTTTAATAATTTCTTCAAGAAGAACATCAAGAACATCAAGAGTACTGTATGTGACAGGTACACATTCACCTCCAGTAGTTCTTATAATTGAAGTCGATTGAACATCTTCATCTTCATCTGAGCTGCTTCCCTCTATTTCACTATCTGATGGTATTTCTTCAAGAATTACTATGACTTCCTCAGCAGTAGGTACTTCTCGTTTGCGCCCGGTATCATCACAAAACGTAAAAGATGACATCCGAAAAATTACAGCATTTAATTACAAATATTTAAGTGCTTACCACGTTTAAATATTTTCTGACATGATTTTAAAAATATTTTCATATCATAGAAACTGTTTACAAACTGTCAATGTTGGTGCATGATGTGTCAAATATGAATCAAACATAATTTAATACTTTATTTTAATTAATATAATAACAAAACCCCTTATTATAAAACAAATTTTAAAACTGTTCAAAATATATTTTATTCAGCGAAATACTAAATGGTTTCACTACACAACTTAACGTATTGCATAGTTGCGAGTAACTGAAAATAATGGGCGTTTTGCAAGATTCTATCAGACCGCGCAAACCAATCACAATTGGCAAATTGTAAATCGGTCTGTCCCAGATATGTTACTAACCTTAAAATAATCATCGGTCAAAACAAATATATATTTATAGTCTCGTTAATGGTTAATGGTACAGTATGCACTGTAGGGCTAAACTAATTTCGTTTAAACACTCTGCATATGTTCTTGACCCAGGTTTTCTGATGTATTTTCTTGGTATGTCTGAAATAAAAAAAAAAACCTTTTTAAGGACTGACGTCGTTTTTTTTTTTGGTAAGCAGCAGCCAAATACATATTGTTTTTTGATTAATGATGGGGTACATTGGCACATGTATTGTGATTTTAAAGATGTTCCCGCAAAACATGGCCCAAAACAAAATACTGATAATTCGCGACTAATTTACCATGTGTATTGAAGTCAATTTTTCCTCAATCGGTTTATTTTAATTTTTCATTTTTAATAAATATTAAACGCGCTTGAAATGTTGGTCCTGGGCTAAAACAGGTGCGCACTGCCAATCCACATATCGAAGCGCGGTGGTACTGCCGTTGGTGGGGTTTCTGCTATGGAAAGGGAATCGACTGTAGAACCAGGTCCAAGTTTGAGTTAAAAATTTCAGTTCCTATTAAACTTGATTTTAGCCAGTTAAAAGTAAAAGCCGCATTCTCCACTAAGTCTGCCGTCGATAAATTTTTCGTGTTTATAAATCCGGTAGGTAAAAACCTTGTTTCGTTTTTACGTTTATAATTTTATAAAAGAAACGTTTTATATTGAGACCGTATTTAATTTAAAAACCAAATTACCTTTTAAAAACAGGAACACTTTAATTCCGAGTTGAGTTAAAAGATATAATTTGATTTCATTAATAAATATTGAAATTTATTTTTTGGCATATACAGTACCGTTTTTATAAATATTGTTGGGAGAAAGATTTAATTTGATTTAATTAATAAATATTAGTAGTTGGCTCTTTGAAGATAGAATACCGTTTCTTTAAAGGGAATTGAATGTGATTTAAATAATAAATAATAGGGTTTAGTTCTTTAACATTGTAATACCGTTGATTTAGACTTTTGATAGTTAGTCTGTCCTTATAAATTAAACATTTTTTTTGTAGGTTAAATCGGGAATTAAATATAATTTCATTGATAAATACTTTTTTTACTAAGTGCCGCGTTATAAATAAATTGGGAATATTTAGAAACGGAGTTTTCGAGGAGAAATTTTGCCTCTTTTAATAGTTTGTTTATTATTTTACCGCAAATTTAAATAATCTTAAATAGTGTCCCTATCTGAGCGGGCTCGTGATGACGATCAGTTCATTCTTGGATTAGGTGCTATCCGCGTTTTTTTTTTTGGTTAATGTGCAAACCGCAATTTTAAATAATCTTAAATGAGGCGTTCCCTTCCAAAACTCGCCTTATCCCTTTAAGTCTATTTTCAGAAAATCTGGTAAAACTTTGCGGTCTTATCACTGGCAATAGGTTAACCGTTATTTCTATTTATATTTATAAGACACTAAACAACTCTTGTGTTATGCTACTTTTAATCATATTTTGATTAATTTTTTATTTTTGTATTTTAATTTTGGATAAGGCGAGTTTTAAAATGTCTCTGTGAATAAGGCGAGTTTTGCAACGCACAAAAAGATTGACGTGTAAAAATATGATGAAGACTAGAGGCAAAAATTTAAATTTTGTATTGCCAAAAAAACAAATTTTAACAAGAATTACAACTAAACTCTAGGTTCTTTACTTTCACTGTTGTTTTCTTGGCAAAAGTCGTCGGAATCGTAGGAACAACCATTTTGAACTACTTGTTCTTTATCAACTACCTCAGTATTCAGAAGGTTCTTGTAAAATGATAGCTGCTCCCTGTTGATCCATTCTACACCAAAATCTTTTGTTAAAAGCTTCTTTACATCGAGTAACTTTTCTGGTTTCACACGAATGCATTTTTGTATAACAGTAGGGCGAAAATTTAAGAGGATCTTTCCTCTTTTTAAAACCTGTTTTGAATCACCGATATCTGATTGATAAAATGTTTCCCCTCTTACCAAAATATTATTCACTGAGTTTTTGGTTATGATAAACCTTTTTGCCTCTGAGAACTTGAAATGCCAAGATTACAAGTTTTTGAAATATTTTTCAGCGTCCGATTTAAAATCCAGTACTCTGCACTCGTGTCCTAATCTTTTAACTGTGCCATGTTCTTGGAAAAGATCTAAGTATCTTCTTGGATTTACAATTGTACCTTCTTTTTTAAGGATTTTTTCTATCCTCCCAAATACTCGATCGGGAGGCAACAAATAATGTCCCGGAATAGGAAAAATCACTTCAATTTGCTTCACGTTTTTAGGTGCAATGTTTTTTAGAAAGTGGAAACACATTGCAATCATCGTAGTGTTCCTTGCCCTCCGCATCCGTCGGCACAAAACCTTATTGTACAGTAACCTTTTAAATCGATATCGCTTAGACAATCAAAAACAGCTGAGCAGATTTGGTTTGATCCCTTCTTGAACTCATTTTCCATCCAAGTGTAAATAAAAACATTGTCTTTAGTTAGCTTTGATTTTGAGGAGCCTTTTACCACTGTAAAATTATATGTGTATAGTTGGCGACTGTAGTATGCTGACTGATCAGGTATTTTGGGGTTAACCAAGTTCTTTTGACAGTCAAAAGATAAAGTAAGAAGTTCCGGTTTCTCTTCTTTGAGTTTTAAAAAGAATACATTGGATCTCATTTTGTGGACTCGCTTTTCCGTTATCAGTTTCACTTTATTTTCTTGGGACTTCTCAATTTTAATTTTTTTTTTATAGCTCTATACATTTTGAACATGCATTAGTTGCCGGGGTGCCAAAACCTATATTAAAATAACGAAGAAAAATCTCCCTAAAAAATGTTTTCTTTACTTTTAAGGGGTCTTCTACAGATTCGTTATACATTCTAAAAATTTTCGCAATGTTTAATTCGCTCGGTAGATATTGTCTTTGAATATTTTTGCTTCGGCAATAATGGCTTTCAACTCCTCTTAACTTCTGGATAAATTCTTTTACGCTGCCCCCGCGACTCTCATATTTAGCTGCTCGCCTGTCCCCTTCCCTTTTTTCTTTAGGCAACTGTCCAGTTGAAACATGCTCCCGAGCAATTTTTTTTAGTCTATATTTTGAAACATCTAAGATACTCATAATAACTTGTAACTGAAAATTCTGTGTATCAACTAGTTTAACAAAGTATTGCGTAGCAACACCTTTTCTGCAACTCTTTTCCTTAACACTTCTGCTTCGTGTAGGCTTTTTTATTGACATAAACTTAAGTAGAAAAACATCTTGTGCAATTTTGGTGTCATTAGAATAAAAATTTGCATAAAACTCACGAATATCCCTCATAGTTAATTTTTGGCATCGGTATGTCTTACCTTATGTCCACATACTGGGAATTTAGGAAGTCTTTTAGCAGAATATCATAAAAACAAAAAATTAAACATAACTCTACTGCTTTTTATCTTGGGAAACCATAACATACCTTTTTTTTTTTTTTTTTTTTTTATTTTTTTTCCATTTCGTGGACTCGCTTGGGTTTTTTCTTGCCTCTTTAGGTTCTGCAAGCACAACACTTATGTCCATTTTACCACCTTAACCGAAAACAATGATTTTTTTTAAATAACACGTTTAAATATGTAATAAACATAGCCCTCAGAAGGTCTAGATACCGCATCGTAAAAACATTTTGACCCCCCATATGATGGGCGCCATGATAAATAAATGTCAATAAATTTTAAGTTGGCACTAGTGACAAGACATAATCGGCGCAAGTTTAGTAATAAGCGTAAGATCGGCGTTCGACGTATATAATCGATTTTATTATCTGTTGTGTTGTTTATTTTGTTCTTCTAGTAAAGGTTTTATTTAAAACATTATTGTTTAGTTTAGTCGTTTAGTGTTTTATTTTAATAAAAAAACATTTGTGGTTTGGTGTTAAATTTTACAGGATTTTCAAAATCTCTTGTTGTTTTGTACCTGAATATAACAATGCATCTAACGGTAGAAGATTCAAGGAAGGAATAACATTTCATGTGTAAGTTTTCACAAACATTTGTGTATTTACAAAATCAAATAATTTGTATGTTTTGTTGTAGCATACCAAAAAATTTTAGGAAAGAATAACTGATAGCCATAGGAAGACCATTGAATCATTTTGTGACTTTAGTATAAGCCCAGAAAATTTGGGGATACTAGCTGAAACGGGAAATGTGTTATTGGCTCCTTGTTAGTGACCTATGCTATTGTACAATTTTTCCAACACAAGTTCCATGATCCTTTGAACTTGGCTGCACCCTACTGATGAAGACCAATAGTCAGAAAAACGTGTCGACCGTTACTTCTTTTTTACTTTTTTTTATTCGGAAAATGTCCACTATTACTACCTTGGTGCAACTTTTTCTTCTGATGATAATTTTTTCAGAATATGGTTTTGTCTTATTTTATTTGCCCATTTACAACCCTTTATAGCTTACTTGTGTTCATTTAAATTATTTATGTACAACTTACTTTATGCCACTGTAATTTAATTATAACCAAGTAATTTTACAATAAAACTTTTCTGTTATATCGCATCTTTATGGTCCATTATTCTTTGTAATAAACTCATTAGATTTATATAGCCTATAAAAGTTGAGCAATGTGTATTGCATCATTCACTAGTTATATTACAAGTTCATGTTACTTCAGCCATGATGAAATATTTGCTAAAAAAAGATAATCACCAACAAACTCTTTCTATGTAACACACTGGTGTGTTAAGTCTTTGAATGTATATTGTTAAACTAGAACTTATTCAGTGAAATAACTTATGAAACAAATTTTTCTTTTTGCATTAACAAAAAAACTTGAAAATATAGTGAATTGTGTAAAGAAACAATAATATGTACAATATAATATTTAAAAGTATGACGAAATCAAACGGCAATTTATAGACCAATATTATTGTGTACTTTTTATTATTTCTCTTTGCAATTGCATTTATTTACTATTTCCTGGATAATATTTCACAAGATCTTCAAAGTTTTATTAATAATAATTGAATGGTTATCAACTTATGCTTAATTGAATATGTTTCTGTTCATGTTTCGGATAACCAAGAATAAAGAGTTCTAAAGCTTTGGATAAGGTTGATCCTAGAAACATGGTCTCACAATTGTTTGATTTAGGTTTCTCTAGTGGGGTTATTATTTTATATTACATTTACTTATTTAGGTACCTGACGCATAATGTATTTTGTGAATTGCTATGTAGAAAGAAAATTGTTGGAAAGTTATTAATATTATCACCCCATCATCTAATGTTATTAAACAAAATGGGTTTTTTTTATCTCTCGAGTTAATGAATATTAGTTATGAATGTCACATATCTAATTATTATTTGAATTTATGAAAGAAAAATTTTGGCAACAAAATTACCACTCCATTTATTAATTGCTATTAAACAACATGAGTGTAAACACAATCAAATTACTTGAATTTTTTAACGTTTTTTGGTGAAGTTTTATTTATTCATTTAGAGAAATATCTGAATGCATTATTTTAGAAATTTAGTACACTTTTGGACATATACTGCCAAAGAAATGATATAAAAATCGTAACTTTTAAAAACCGTTGCGACAATTTATTCTACATCTGTTGGTCAGGTTTTTCTATTAATATTAGTTCCGTTCTAAGTAGGTACATATTATAGTTTGTATGTTCTATGCTTTATTTTATTACATGTAATAAATGATAGGAAATATACTTTTATAGTAAATAAATTGATTAAAGCAATATGTAAGAATAAGTTTATCTAAGGATTAAATTGTTAAAGCAATTTTTCATATCCATTGTTTATTAATTTGTTTCATTTAATTCTTTCTTATTGAGTAAGTTATTTCATATAAATATGCGATACTTGTAAAATGTAATATTTTCTTTTAAATAGGTATATATTATGTTTGTATAAAATATTGTTCAGTTAATAAAAACAGAAATATTTTGTCTTTCATTCAAAAGAAGTTTGTAAATTTTTCAAAATATATTTACCTACCCAAAAAAAAGATTAATAAAACCAGTTAGTCATATACACATTTTCTATATATTTATAGAGGTACTTTTTAAATAACTTTCAATACATTCGAAATCTGTGGTTTTATTAAACTCAATATAACAAATAATAATAGGTTTTCTCAAAAATATTTAAAAATAAAATCGAGATGGGACTCTTTTGTATAATTTAGTGACTATTCGCCTATGGTTAGTGCACTGCTGTATGTCCCTGGGTTTTCTACATTAGAACAATACTGCTTCTCCACTCTAGCAGTATTTTTTGCATCTCGCAAGATTATATTTATTAAAAAACCAAGGAATTGTTTTAGGCCTATTGCTGTGCCCTTTTCCAACATTTTCAAAGTTTTTTTTTACTTTCTGCTGATTGGATCTCCGATAGCGACAACTCCATTTGTTGTTCCACTAGTTTTTTTATCAAATTTTTAAAATTACTTCTATAAATTTTATCTTTTGAAACGACTTTGCTTACCTGCTTCATAATCTCTTCCCTATGTCCCAATTTCTCTAACAGGTGAGATCTTATACTCGCTCTATTAAATCATTATAGTTTATTTGAAAATGCTTGGTAGCACAGTTTTTATGGCAAAGGTCCATATTTTTATATAATTTTGCTATTATTCATTTTCAAATAAACTATAGGAATAGGAGTAATTTATCAGTTTTTCTAAAAATACCTTGTTACCGATGTAAGTATATCTTTCCCTAGTTAAAAAATTCGAGTTTTTATTTTCATAATATAAATAAATGATCGGTTAAAAATCACATTCTTTTAAATAGTACATTTGACATTGAAGTAGGTATTTTCTCCATATTGCCAAACAGGAACAGATGGTTTACTTGTAATTTGAATTATATTACATAAATCTAACTGAATTTCTCTATAATTCTCATAGCAATATGTACACAAAACAGTTATCCAATAATATATATAACCATGTAAAAATATCATTTCAAGAACGAGAAAATTTATAAAACCGGTCCTGTCTGAACACATCTAGGAAAATCAAATAGGTTTGTCAAAGTTTTGTTCTTAATTTGAAATTGGAAATTGTGCGTCTCACTCACTTATAACTAATAACAAAGTGCAGATTATCGGTGTTCACGTATTACAGAACACACAAACTAAAAATCAGTGTAGCCAAAACATAAATTTACTTAACATGGCGACAAGCTTGAATGGGGTCATTTTTTTGTATTGACAGCATACGCCAAGCGGTATCTAGACTTTCTGAGGGCTATGGTAATAAATTATTACGGCAATGATCTACGTTTATATGTCAAGTTGCTAGTCAATACTAAAACAATACAAATATGAACACAGAATCCGAAGAATTGCGCATGACAAATTATAATCAGGTGATACCAAATCGAGCTATTCCATTGGGTAATTGGATAAGGCGTGTTTTGAAACGACGAAGTAGCTGGATAAGGCGAGTTTTGATTTGAATGTCGATATATAATCGTATATTTTGTGAAAGATGGCCAGTTTTGTCCCGTTTTGCGATGCGGGCCGCATAGGTATTAGTATGAAGAATATTTTGATGCACCAAACCCGATTTTAACAGAAAGTGGATAAGGCGAGTTTTGGAATGGAACGCCTCAAATAGTATCCTGTCCCTGTCTGAGCGGGCTCATGATGACGATCAGCTCATTCGTGGAGTAGGTACTGTCTGCGTTAGTATCCTGTCCCTGTCTAAGTGGGCTCGTGATGACGATCAGCTCATTCTTGGATTAGGTGCTATCCGCGTTAATTTTCTTTTTCCCTTTGTATTCTTTATTTTTTTCGTGCTAATTGCAAATTACAGAAACCCTAAATAGCTTTATTACCCTGTCTGAGCGGGCTCGTGATGACGATCAGCTCATTTTGGGATAATAGGCTACCCCGGGTCAAAATTTATTTTTTTTTCTCTTCCTTTCTGTATATTTACTATAAGTCGTTCTTTCGCGATCCTGTCTCCTCGCACTCTCTGCGACCGTCTTGATAATTTTTCCTTAGTATAGGAAATAGGAAAGTACCTACATTTTAGTTTAATTCCCGATACGATCGTTAAATAGTTAATTTTTGCGACGACCGCTCTTAGAATTTTTCCTTACCGAAATGGAAAATTAGGTTTTAGTTAAATTACCGACTAAATAGTCAAGTTAATAATTTTTTCTGCGACCGAAACACTCATTTTATTTTAATTAAATTTTGACGTGTGATTGAGACTTGTCAGGATTCAATACCGTCCGTTTTGTTTGTTTATTTTTTTTGTTCAGGGTTATATTGACTATCATCGCAACTAGGGTGGGCGTTGAAATATATAATTTTTATTATTTTTAATGTGTAAATGGTTATTCAAAATATAGGTGTCAATGTTAACTTGCCGTATTACTAGTTACTAATTCCATACTTTATGTATTTCAGCTATTGATAAATTCTGTACCAGCCCAAGCAAAGATTAAAGCCCGTTGCTTGTGGCCTACTATTACCTGTGTCTAAGTGACCTTTGACCCCTGGAATTTTTCATCTCCATCTGTAGCTACCCGAGTACTTTCGACACCGTTTCAAAAGTTTGTGGAGTAAACCATATCCAAAAATCTGGCGCTCTAGAACCGCCTGTAACCAGCGCCATTCGTAAGGAACCGTTTTCTTTGTGGCGGGAAAACCCCTTACACATGGAGCAAAGTAACCTTACAAATGTGTTCGGGGTTACTTTGCTCCGGAGAAAACTAATCCCAAAATTGCTAAATTTTGACGTTCAAAACAAATTCCGTTCTCTGAATTATTATTTACGTTTTTAAAGATAAAAAATAATCATAATGCAATTCAATATCAACTTAGCAATACCAACTTGTCACATATAAAATGAAAACTGCACGTCAAATTTTTCGACGTAAAATTATTACAGATTTTGACGCTTGTAGTTTTGTTGTGGTATATGCTTACATTTTCATTGAGGAATTAAAATACACTTTTTCCCTGGTTTACAGTATTGTAATAATCATTAAATAATTATTTCTAGTCTATAACTACATGCGTTTGTTCGTTTCCGTCGCTAGCAATTTAAAATTACATATTCCATGAAACGACACTGGCAGATAAACATTTACTGCGAAATTTCCAATGTGTTTTAAAGTTTATTCCCTTTACACCTACCTCTGTCGCTGCCATAGTCATATTTATTTTTGCACAATCCAGTTTACAACAAACTTGAGTACTCCGATATTAGGCCACGAAACATTAATTGCTCCGATTGGCAGTTAGGGCGTGACTTGCTAAAATACGTTACCCTTTTAGTAAATAGAAGCTAAAAAACATTTATTTCATTATTATCTTTCAATTAGGTCACTTCGTTATGGCTCAAGAAGTTGACGAAATGTGCAAATATTTTGTGAGTCAAAAATAATATTAGAAAATGTTATAAGCGCGCTCAATAAAGAATTTAGTGGATCACATTATTTTAAACCTTCTACAAGAATTAGTGAATTTATAGGAAAACTCGCAAAGGAGGAACATCACAATGAGTCTGTAATTAAAAAAATAAAACTCCTTTTTTCCTTGTATAGCAATTTAATTCTTTTCAAAAGTAAACAAAGTATCTTGGCACAGGGACTACGTAAAGGTACGTGAGTGAAGCCTCATCAACAATACTTAGGAGCGTCTGTTACGAACGATGATGCTCCACAACCCCTTCGTTCATAATGAATATTCATATCATTTATGGAAATTAATATCAATTCGCTATCATCTGTGTTTCAATTTTGCACATTATAAATATTATGATGTTAGAGAACGCGTCGAGGTTATACAAAAATTAGCCCAGTTGATAAAGATACGTGTTACTAGAATATACATATTTATATGCCAAGTCGATCCAAATCTAAGAGTTAGTAGCGTAAACCACTGACCATATTAAGAAATTGCATTGGTTTGACTAGATATATGCAAAATTATTACAGCTTCATATCAGTTTGTCCCTTGGTTATTTGTTAACAAATCATTGGTTACTGGAGATTTTCTTAACGCTCATATATATGTCACAACAATACAATAGTTATGTTCAAGTCTGGTTAAAAAACTGACATAATAAACTACCGTCCCAGATCTATAGTTATCATAATCTCAAAAGTCTTCATCATAACGGACTGCCTAATTTATGACAATGAATTTGTTTGCGTATGCTAACTTTCTTTCTCTTTCGGAAGTCCTAGAGATAAGTGTTGAAAATCACTCGTAAGGGTGTTAGATGCTTTTTTACCTCAAGTAAAGTAATACTTTTGACGCCCTACTCTTGGAGAATTCTCGGGTGCCAGTTTTATTTAGGTGGTTTGTTCTACAACCCTTCAATACAGCTTGCCAAGAGCAGCTTTAGCGAAGACGATGGAAAAATTCCAGTGGTCAAAGTTTGTAATAGACTATTATTAAATGAAAGTATCAATACCGGGCTTAAAACCAGATTGGTATGGTGTAGAATTTCCGTAAGCAGAAATGGGGTAAAGTTGGGTGTTCACGGTTTAAGAACCGCAATATAAGCCAATTAGGTAAAATTTATACTTATATTGCTTACGAATACTACGGTGGCAGTTTTTTTTTCAACCTCCGATTGCACAGTATTAAGCCCAGTCATGCTGGTAGTTAGCATGCCTAGTAGGCGACAGTGCCTCTTTCCTTCCACACACTCTGTCACTTCCGAGTCCAACACGCCATTTCTTGTTGAGCTGCAATCACGTAAACATGGCTGTCTGTATTGATTCTCCCGCCATGTGTGGATTGCGAAGTGGTATTCGTTTCTTTTAGGCAGAAGGGAATAGTGCAGTGGAAATTCAACGAAGAATGAATTGAGTGTATGGAGAGAGCTTAAGGAGAGCTACTCAAAACAATAGAAGAGACATGCTGACTTCTAGAATTGTTCTCATCTATGACAACGCCCATTCTTATAGTGCTTGTGTAACTCAACGGCTCCTCGAGCAATCTAAATGGGACCCATTTGAACACCCACCATATAGTCCTTACCTATCGCCGAGTGACTACCATCTTTTCTCTGAACTGAATAAGTGGCTTGAGAAGAAGAGCTTCCAAACTGACGAGGAGCTCAAAGAAACCATCACAACTCACTTCAAGTTACTGGCGGCAATATTTTATGAAGAGGGTATTGCAAAGTTTGTGCAAATGCCTTAATCGCCAAGGTGATTAAAGGGTGATTCTCATGATATGTGGAAAATTCCAAAACAAAAATTCAAAAACTTAGAATTAAAGCTACTAAAAAAGTATTACGGCAAATGATTGGTAACATATGGATGAAGAACCCACTATATGTGGCTACACACTTTATAAGTTATTACGGAAAAAATAGAAAAAAAATTAAATTGATGATTTCGGAGGTGAGATTATACATTACGGCCGTAAGAATTTCATGTAATTAGAACGGTTACTATTACATTTTTTAAACAGTAAATGATGAATTGCTGTTAACATATTTATTATTTTCAGAAATATCGGAAACATTAATTTTTATAACAATATTTAAAAAAAAAACTAGTCACAATAAATACTTTTAACTTTGTTAAAGAACATTTTTAAAAAAACACTAGAAACATTAAAACTTATAACAAATATTAAAAATGGTCCAGATTGTCTGCAAAAAGATGCTGTCCTCGTGTATTTATTGAAAGTTGAGAGAGAATTAGAATAATATCATTTTTATGAACCACGGAGATGTCTTCTACGTTAGGGAAGGTGAATTTATTTGTGGAATGCATTCTTCGCATAAATTTCACTGTAAAATCTTCGACATCTACAGAGATAATGACCCCGATGTAATGTTTAATAGCTTTCTTGTCCAAAAATGCTACTAAAACATAATTATTTTCTTTGGCAATCAACGGCTGCACATAATTATGTTCTTTAGCAATCAACGGCTGCTTTCTATTTTTTGTTTCTTCATCGTCACTACTTGAAGAGTACACATCAGAGACACGAAGACGCTGCTTATTATGTGTTGATACTGTCACGGGAAGCGATGTCGTACAATTCTGATTAAGTAAAGGATATCTTCCTATAGAATAGTGTTCACAACGTGATGAAGGTAAACATTGCAAACAAGATAAACTTCTGATATCCATCTCACTTTTATCTTTCGCCCAAACTACTTCGTGTGTTTTAAAAACCCCTCTGAGTTTTGGGAGGCTTTTGGGTATTTTTGCTTCTATATCAAGTTGAGAATCTTTTAAATCTAATTGAAATATTTCTGCTCCTTGACAATTTTGTTTTATAGCGGAAATAAAAGAGTTTAAATCACTAACATCTTTTCCTCGTGCATCTAAAGAATCAGCAATGCGTTTAAGGCAACCGCCGACACCATTTGGTGCTCCTTTACCATGTCCTTTCTCTGTATAATGTCATCTTGTAGTTTCGACTTCAAGTTGTGCCGATAAATACATTCCTATTAAGTAGAACATTGCTCGATTTCGATATTGCGTGGTAGGTCCGTCGCTTAAAAACTGCACATTTCTAAGATTCTTTTAATTTATCAATAACAGGCATTAAATGCGCGCAAATAGCAACTTTATCGTGTCGTAAATTTTTTGATGCTGTACAAAAACAATTTGTTGTAACTTGTCTATCTATATCTGATTTGTGGTAAGTTACTACTGTGTGCAATGATAACTGAAGTTTGGATCCCCGAAAATGAGCAGATTGAACTTCTTCTGCGTATTTGCAGGAATAATTTTCCGAAAAGTCCATATGGATCAAAACTTCATCAGTTCCAAGATTGTTTTTCAACTGTTTGATAACACCATATTGATGTTGGATATTTCTTACGTGCAACAGAAAGTCTTTTATAGAAGATTTGAGCGTTTGTAAAAGTATTTCTTTAGTAGTGTAAACTTTTTCTTTAATAGTCTTCTTACAAATTTTTTCTTTGCCTCTAATCATCAGTTTGTGTTTTTGTACAGTCCATCGCTCAAAAACTACATTTTCTGCGTTCTCAAATTCTACAATTCGGAGCTCTTTATCTTTACACAAAGGGCACATTCTTGCTAAACATTTTACATCTAATATGTCATTTTCACAGCACAAACTTTTACAAAGTTCGTCAGGTGTACTTTCATCAATCATATTATATATTTTTAACCGTCGCAGCAGTGAGGAAATATTGGAATGTATCATACACAAGCAAGTGTTTCTTTTTTCAACAGATCCTTCGATTATCCAAAATGGTCTAAATCGACAGAAAGTAGCGTAGCTTATATAGAATTTCTGATCAATGACAAATCTTTTATGAAGGTTTTTGAGGGAATTATTCAATAATCTCTTTTGTTTTTTGTATTATTCTTCTTGATAAAATCACCCTTTCCTGGAGAAAGGCGGCTACATTCATCCCTTTCCAAGAAATTAATAACAAGTTTTTTTAACTTTGTCCATTCGTTGTTGCCTCTTGGTTTCAGTGTTCGAATTTTTACAAATATAAGAAGATGTTATACGTTTTAAATAATTTTCCTTTCTTTACTTTTTAATTATTTCACCAGAAACGTTTTTCCAGAAGATTTGCTTGTCTTTTGTACTTTTGAGGGCACCGTAATTGTATGCTAATTGTCGTCCAATTATGTCGCCAAGAAGTAATTTTTTTCTTACTTCTGCGGACATACTATGTCCTTAAAGTTACTTCTCTACAGTCCTCTCTGGATCATCTTTCTTTTGAATTTTACTTTTAAATCGTTTTATTCGCATTCTATACTTTTCTTTTTTCTTTTTCTCTTTTGCCAGTTGTTGTGTCAGCTCCGCTATTTTATTATTAAGCTTTCGAAGATGTACCCATCTTCTTAATTTTCCCTGTCGTTGTCGCCGATCTTCTTGGTGAACTTCATCCAACATAGGATGAGGTGTTGGAGGAGCATTATTTTCTTCCAATCTTTGATGTACTAACTTTTCTTCTTTTTTTTTCGATCATAACAACGTTTACTACGTTCTCGCCACTCTTTTTGTTGTTGACTGCGTTCTCGGTATGACATTTGTGAAATAGATTTAATTTTACCAGCTTCTTTTCTGTTGTAATAACTTTCTCGTTCATTACGCTTTGCCTCTTCATATTTGTTGTAATTATTTCGTATTTTCTCACGAAACCTCTTGACAGCTTCTCGTTGTTTTTGTTTCCTTTCCTCGTTGCTGCATTTTCTTTTGGACCGGACCATATTCCTGCTAATACGAAAAGCTACTTAAATACGAAATACAATATATTTGCATTATTTCTCACCACCGTAATCATTTTTCACCTCCGTAATACCCGTAAATTACGGAAGTGAGAATTACGGATGTGAGATGTTTAGGATAAAATTTACTAAATCTCCTTAAAAAGCTAGGTTATCACTATATCAAACTATCGTTAGAATACATACAAATTATTTCTCATTCTTACAAAAATCTTACAAAAAAAAATTATATTATAAAAACTTACTTTAAAATTAATGTTACGGATGTGAGGGTTTCCAAAAACCAAAATCACTCACTTTGAATAAACCGAACAACCTTCCTATTGAAAATCTTATGCGATACTGATTTAGCAACCGACGAGGTCTGCGTTCTATTATGGTGGTGGGTAAAACGGAAAGCACAACAACAACATGGCGAAAATTCATATTTTTAAGTTATTAATAAAACAAGAATAATTTTTTCGGAGGTGAGATGTTACTTAAGAACACAGTTCAAATATGCTTAATAAATTAAATATAACATATTAAGAATATTACATTGTAGTATTTAAGTAACTTGTAAAATAATATTTAATATACTTAAAAACTAGACCTCTTTTGAGTTGAAATTTCAGTCAGACATTTATTTTAAATCTATAATATCCAGTAGGAACGTATATCGGAGATAAGATTATCATTTTTTAAAAGGCTTTATTTTGAACTTTAACTTTATTTAACTATAATTTTTATTTAAATTTATAAACATTATTGATTGATTGAATTATTATAAATACGCGTTTTGAGTTACGGTTAGTTTTGTTTTAATACAAACAATGTGTAAGGCATATTTTCACCTCTCGTGAGAATCACCCGAGAAGTAACCATTATTGTACATTACTTTTGGTAATAAAATCATTTTTTTATATTCACCCGTCTTTCCTTTATAGCCTGTCGGCAAAAAAAACAGCCCTCGTAATTATAATTTTTTCTTTACTTCATTCAAAGCCCATCCCTCTGTTACCCTGATCACAGTAAATAAACCATAAAATGTTCGATAAGCAAAAATTGGGGGAAATAATACGGTATTGGTAAATCAATTCAATAAATCGGGAAAAATAAAAAACTCAATCAAACAGTGTAAGTAAATCAAATAAAATAAATTTGGGAAATCAATAACTCAATAATTCAGTGCCAAATATACCAGGGGAAAGAATTTAGTAATTACTATTGTTAAGGCAAGTCTTAATTCTTGCAACAAAATTCCAAACCTACGCTCATAATTAATTATTTGACAACATGAAAGGTCCCAGATATAATCGATGTAAACTTATTAAATGGAATTAACACTAGGATCGAAAATATTGTATATAAACCCTAAATATGAGTTGTCTTGAACAAACCTAATACAATAATTATAAAGAATTTAACGTAAAACTCATTTATTACTGGTGACTGGCTGATGTAATCTAACATTCTTGCTCACACTTGTATTATAATTCAATATCAACAACTAAAGAAAATAATTATTTCGGTAAATTAAAAAAAATAAATAAATAAAACAGTGAATGATTACCCAAATGAATGGCGAAACACAATGATATGACAATGATATGGCAATGATATGGCAATGATATGACAATGATATGGCAATGATATTGTCACGTTAAGTGGTTTGTTAGGCAAACCAATTATTCGTGGGGTACGCCACTGCGTATTTCGGATCGCCCAAACGATCTTCCAGTTGAGGAAGATCTTTGCGCCACCCAAAAATACTCACTGGAGAACCTTTCTTATGATTTATTACGCTTGGCTTGGCTTTACGCTACTTGGGAAGGAATAAAAGTCACTGCATAAAAAACTACAAATCTTTAATAAGTACAAACTAAAATCCCCTGAACTGTCCCGAAATCCCCAATATAATAATACACCCCAAATATACAATATATACACTACAAAGACTTTAAAGAACCAACTAGTTACTTTTCTCAGAAATACCTTTTTTATTTTATTTTATTTTTTATTAGATTTATAAAAAACCTTACCACATATTTTAACAGCAAGCTGGCATGTCACGACTTTATTTTTTATTTTTATTTTTATTGCTGTAATACAGCAGAGTATTACCTACTGCCGATTTTCGTCACAGCCGAAGAACTTATCGCCTCGGTTGTGCCAAAAATGTTGTTATTTTTTGTTTTGTCAATTTGGCCAGCTGACCCCAACATAGTTTTGAAATTGTAGAATCAGCATAACCGAATTGAGTGCATTGTTTATTTTCAACATAAAATAAAGTTTTTAATTACTAGACGAAAAGATTGTTATTGTTTTAAATAACTTTAAATGTAATATTAAACACAAATTGGAATTGAATGAAAATTAAAAAGATTGAAATAAAATTATATTTTTGGAAATGGCTTTATTAAAATTTGAGTTGAAATATATTTTTGGAAAGTACTTTATTTTATCTTTAATAAAAATCTAATTATTTTTAAATGCAATTCGTGACAATATGGCAATGAACTAATGTATTAAAACACTTTTTGTTACCTGCCAGTATATAAATACTGATTTCTCCCAGTATCGCGAAATTAACACCTAAACTAAGTACAAAACATTACTTAATAATAACAATAATAATAAAACGTCTTTATTAAAATTTTTGAAAATTACAAAAATGCAATGTAAGGGCGAGATTTAGCCTACAGCTATTCTTCCATCTAACCCTTTTAGTAACAGGATCGATAAATAATATTATAAAAGCAAAAACTATAATAAACCTATAATAAAAATTAAAAAAAAACAAACATTTAACTAAACTGTTAATGCAAATAAATAATAATTGAATTACATATTAATAAATTAAACTAAAAATAACACAATTTGTATACACAATTTAATTTGATCATCGTTGTTGATGAAGCAGGATATTTTTGAGCTTACGCTTGAAACCAATATATGAATGGGTATTCTTTAAATCATTGTCAAGTTCATTGTAATATTTAATAGCACAGTAAGAGAAACTGCGTTCAAAAATAGCATGTGTGTGGCGGGGCATTGTTAACGTGGATTGCTCACGTACATTAATATTATGCATTTGATTTCTGTAAATTAACCTACGAGAGAGATATATTGGACTTTGAGTGTGTATTATTTTGTGCACCAATGATAGCAAATGATACTTATACAGATTACTAATATTTAGCCACCGAAGTTCTTTAAAGCTTTGGGAAATATGATCATATTTGCGTAAACCAAATATGTATCGACAACATGTATTCTGAATTTTTTGAAGCCTTATAGATGTTATTGAATCTAGACAAGGATAAAAAATTATATGACAATAAGAAATTTTGCTAAGGATTAGAGTTTCACATAAGTATTTTTTCATATTCATTAAGAGCAAATCTTTATTAGCGTATAGAAGTTTGAGTATTAGATAACATTGAGTGGACAAACTGTTGATATGTTCAATAAATCGAAGATTCTCATCCAGTAGTAAGCCCAGACTTCTGGCTACATGTACCATAGGAATTGTCTCATCATCAAGTTTTATGGAAAAATTATTTTTAATATAAGATCGAGATTGGGCATTAGAAAATATGATTGATTTGGATTTTGATGGATTTAAATGCAGATTATGATCCAAGGAAAATGTTTTTATTCTAGCTAGGTCCTTATTAACCGCTTTACTTGCTACCTCTGCATTAATGGAATGAAATGAATGGTGTAGTTGGATATCGTCAGCAAAAAACTGGATTTTACAGGTCAGAGTTTGTTCACACAAGTCTGACGTATACAGAAGAAAGAGTAAGGGACCTAAGACGGAGCCCTGTGATACGCCTGATTTTATGGACTCAAATCCAGATGACTGATTATTTATTTGGACTTTTTGTGAGCGATTACTAAGATAAGATTTAATAAAATTAAGAG